GCTTGACTCTAAGCTTCGAATAAGGTAAGTAAATTAATATGCGTTTTATTGGTAGGTAAAACGCTCCTATTAATTTGACTTGACCGTTATTCGAAACTTAGTTTAATTGAGATGTGTTTGTTATCGCCTGGTGGTGGGGACGCTAATGTGATAAAAATAAATTAGTAAGGTTATTACAAAAATCAATATTTTTTATTTATCCATTTACGTAATCACAGTTGCCAAATGGTCCATCTAATTCAAACTTAAGTACATTTGTGATATCAGAAGATAAAGAGAAAGGTAGGTATACATTCTATCATATAAAAATCATATTTTAAATATAACGTAACTCAGTAACTCAACTGCAAACATAAAAATAGAAGAAATTGCAATTACAATATTTATGGCTTTGTATATTGTTCGAATGCCTGCTTTACTCATCAACTGGGTTAAACAATCTACTCATAGATGAGGAGGCTGAAGGATTAGACTGCAATATCTCTTTCCTATAATATTTGCAAAAGGTATTTTCTGATCGCCAATTGCCTCTTGCAAGTATATCTTCCAATGTATAGTCATCAACCCAATTTTTAGAAGCAACTGCAGAGCGGAAGCTTCCTGGTGCTGCTAAAATTCCTGCATCTTTTAGGAGAGTTTTTATCCACCCAGAAATTAATGCCCTAGATGCAGGTGCAGCTTCACCTCGGAAATTCATAAATAAATTAGATTTATTTGCATTACGCCTACGACTTTCCATAAGAGATATTGTTTGCTTGATGAACAGGATCAAGATTCTTATCACTGTTATTGGTTAACAATTTCCAACCTGACTGTCGGTGCTTTGACGAATCAGTTTTTGAACCAAAAACTGGCCAAAACACCACGCAATCGTCATGTTCAGTGTAATGAGCGGAATCGATGTGGAGCAAAGTTAAATCATGAATCCTTCGCCCCGAACAAAGAAGCAAGATGGCTGCTGTGTGCCTTTGTACCTGAAAACAGTTCTTCCAATTAATTCTATATCTTTTTAGATAAGCTGTAAGAGTATCTACGTTCCATATCGGAGATTTTTTAACAATTTGTCTTTGAGACAAAATTGATTTCAAGATCTGTTTAACCATGAAATGAGAACTAATTTCACCAGATTTATTTGGGTCGCAAAGTGTAGATACAACTGATTTGTGCAATAATATAGAATTATATGACAAATTGTGAATTAAATGCAAATCTGATAAAAAACGAGCAACATCGCTCCCATTAGGATTGGTGGGCTCAACTTTTTGCTGACGGGACCAACAAAGCCACTTTTTCCATGCGCTATTGTAAGTTTTTCTTGTAGAAGGTCGCCAAGCCTTTTGAAGAAGCTCTAATTGACTTGAGTTCCAGTCTGTTAATTGATCTGACCACCCCCACATCTCCAGACCTCCAGAATCATGTCTTTCACATTCGGTGGAGGCAGGTTCGTGGAGGTGTCGATCAGGACTTGGTCCAGGTGGCGAAGAGTGAATGGTGGAGCTAATGCTCGTGACTTGAGGTCCCCCCGCCAAAATACCCTGTCCCAACGAGGTGCTACCAGTAGAAGAAATTCTCGAAAGAGAATTTGCGTGAGAATTGTATATTCCTGGAATATAAAAAACTTTGATGTAAATCTGGTAAAGATCCAAAATGCGGTAAATCTGACAGGTACGCGCGACGCAGATAAGCCACTACAGTTCTGTTGTCGCTTTGGATTAGAACTGTGCTGCACCTCAGGAGCTGACAGTGACTTTGAAGGACCTTTAGGATAGTCAGTAGTTCCTTTTGGTTGCATTGTAAGAATTTCTCGCGTATTGTCCACCTGCCCTGAATAGACATACTGTTCAGACGAGCTCCCCATGCGACATCGGAAGCGTCTGTGGTTAGGAAATTCGAAGGTGGAGGAGTATGAATTACTGACGGGCGATTGTAATTTTGAAGCCACCAAATCAGATTTTGCTTCGCATTGATTGGCAAGGGATCTATTTTGGTCAAATTCTGTTTCGACATACTGTTCAGAAGGTATAGCAGTGCACGATAATTCAGCCTGCCCATAGGTACACAGAAACTGGCGAAATTCAGGGTTCCTACGAGACTCTGTAGTTCCTTGAAGGTAATGCTGTTCTTACGGAGAACTTGGTTCAATTTGAGTAGCAGAACCTGTAGTTTTTCCTCTGGTTGCCGTTTTTGGTTGGACCAGGGATTCCATAGAATGCCTAAGTAAGTTAGACTTTTCGTTGGTATCAAACAAGATTTTTCCCAGTTGATCATCCATCCCAATTTATCCAGGATTTTGATCATATAAGCAACATGATTCTGCAGCAGCTTCCTGTCCTGGTGAACCACCAAAAATCGTCTAAATAGACAATTACTCGTAAACCTTTGTCTCTAAGGATTTGCGCAATCCAATTCGTCATTGTTGCAAATGTTTTTAGGGCCGTGCTCAGACCAAACGGTAGGCAAGTCATTTGCAGTAATTCGCCACGATATATGAGACGAATGAACTTTCTATGGCTGCGAGCTACAGAAAGGTGAAAGTACGCCTGGGAAAGGTCTATTTTGCACAGCCAATCCATTGGTTGCAGAAGTTCTGGTACACGCTGCACATTTATAAGTTTGAACTTTTCGGTGATGATGTAATTGTTTAAAGCCTTCAAGTTGAAGATGGGTCGAGCAGTGCCGTCGCCCTTGGGGACCAGAAACATGGAAGACAGGAAACTTGGTGACAATTCGGCTCTCTCGAGAACCCCCTGATTCTTCAGTTGATTTATTATAAGTGTCATGTCTTCTGATTCCTTGACAGCAACCATATTTTCCAATACATTGGGATAGACTAACGGCGGCTTTTGAACAAAAGGTATGCGATACCCTTTTAGAAGTTTTAGTATGTGACTGGGTGCCCCCAATTGAACCCATTGGTTCCAAAATTGGGACAGGCGTCCAGATTTGAACTTGCCCTAGTCAAAATTTTCGTCGCTTGTTATCTTTATGATAGTTGGACGGGGACGCATTACGTTTGCGTCCTTTAAGTTGTGGCTGCTGCTTAGCGCTAGGTTGGGACAAGCGTCCGCGAAAGGAATTACTGTTTGTATTGTTCGGTGCGACCGAATAATTATTTCCTTGACCAAGCCAATAAATCACGTAGTGCTGTCTGTAAGGATTCTTATTGCTTTAGCACGCACATCGTAAGACCAGCAAAAGCTTTGTCAGAAAGAGACAAATGTTTGGGAGACTCGAATCGTTTAACCTCCTCATTAAAATCAAGTTCCTTAAATCCTGGTGAAAATATATAAGATTTTTGTGTCTCTGAATATCTAATATCATTCCAAGCATCACTATCTTAATGCTGAACATTATGCAACCATTTAATAAAAGATTCTCAAGCCTTAGGAACAGAAGGTTCCTTTAACTTTGTACCAATATTCAAGGTAAAATTGTCACAATTATTATTATCACAATAATCGGCACTTACATGAGACAAAAGTGAAACCGCGTCATCGTGATCGATAGTACTTACAGGAACAGGACCTTCGGTTTTTCTTATTAATTGGTTACGCAAATCTCGCACAGCTTTCGATAACTTAGAAATCTTCTTTTCTGCGGCTCGGTTTTGCTTGCCCCCCCTTCTTTTTCTACGGCGACCACGATCACGACTGGAACTGGAAGAAGTGGAAGAGCTACTGCTGGTACCACTGTTGCTGCTTGAACTGCTCGATCTCGTTCGCTTTCGGTTCAAAACTGAAGGGCCTGGCCGGTTATTTGATACATCATCATTCCTCCGTTCAGTTTCATCCATACTAAAAGTAACGATTAGGTACGTGAAAAACTCAAACGCAATAGTTCATGTTATTTAAGAGATGTACAGTACAACTCACACTAATAATTGAATTATCCAACGTTTTTGAGCGTTAACTGTTTTTAACACCCCACTTGAGCTAGTAAAACAATCGATTCTTGATATAAGGCAATTCTTTTCCAAACACAGAAAAAAAAAAACTTTGAGGGTACTTGCAAAACACTATGCTATGTGCAAATCTATACTTATAATAAATCTGTAGAGAGGTTAATTCTGTACATGAAATTTATTTTCAAAATAACTATCAGGGGGTGATTAGTGATCGATACTGATGCCAAAAATGCAATCAGTAAAATTTTTGTCTGTCTGTCTGTCTGTCTGTATGTTCCTTATAGAAACAAAAACTACTCGACGGATTTTAACGAAACTTGGCACAATTATTCTTCATACTCCTGGGCAGGTTATAGTATACTTTTCATCACGCTACAATCAATAGGAGCAGAGTAGTGAAGGGAAATGTTGGGAAAACGGGAGAAGTTACTCCATTTTTTAAGCTTCCGTCGCGTGTGCAGCCTTAATGGTTAAAGTTACATAGATATCATGTATGACGGAAATATTTGACATAAAATTGTCTAAAAAATATCCCGCAACAGCATATGTCTATCTTTTATGGTTGAGTCACAATAACACGTGTAATTATATAAATAAAGTCATTGTTTATAGCACAAGCCCGAGAACAAAAACTATTGTTTACACTACAGCTCTACACCGAAGCGAAGTGAGGGCGGGCCACTAGTGTAGAATATTAAGGTAGACAGTGTAGCTACTTACGTGAATTTATTCACTTTCTGCACGAATAAGGTTTGATAATTCTTACCGTGTTGTTTTTAGAGTACTTAGTTGTACTTATTTAAAACGAATTGTCTTTTCCTTTGTGCGGCGAGGTAGCTTCTGTACTAAGGACTAGACCTTCCACGGCGGGAAACAAGACGCCAATGAGCAAGAATTGGTAAAGCCCACTCAAAATGGCTTCCCCACTGCCAGAGGTGGTGGGAAATGATAGAAAGAGACATTATAAGACAGAAAGAGACAGATATATATAAGGCGGGAAACATAGTGCCTATCTCAATTAAACTAAGCTTCGAATAACGGTCAAGTCAAATTAATATGAAGTTAGTCAATAATGAAGTAATATGCCTATCCCCAGATGCCCGAGGAGCGAAACCAGGACCTGACCCAGATGTACCGGTCCTACTTCACGCGTAACGTGAACGCCACCAACTTGGCGCTGTTCATCGACTCGTACGTGCGCCGTGGAGACCTCGCCATCGGTCGCGATGCCGACACGCTCAAGGTATCTATACCATACTAATATCCTGAAGACCTCCCATCGGACGCGACGTTGACACGGTCATGGCATGGTGAAAATCAAACAAACTTTATGGCTATTATGAAGTTAGCAGCGAACGCCACTATGCGCAAGTTTCAGTTCAGTCAGTGACATTAACTACAGCTACCTATCACCCTCCCCTCCCTCCTCTAGACGAAAGTGTATATGTAAAGCAACCAAAGTCCTTAGTCCATAATTTGACTTGCTAACTAAACAAACATTTCTGCTTCCTTCACGTCGAAATGACTTTACTAGTTAATCTAATCCCAACTGAGCATCATGTTCCCATAATTAATACTTTTACCCTATACGTATAATATATAATAATTAAATACTTGAACCAATCTGATGATATAGTTATGCTTTATTTCCTGATGAATTAGTCTTTATTTCACAGCCTGCACTACACTGACAATACGCGGTTACATAGAACAGGCGTGTATCTATATAGGTACTAATCGCACTTGAGGCACAGCGGTGACACTCTCTGTACGTGAGAGTTCCAGCGTCAGTGACCTTGAGCAGAAGCGTGTATGCGCTAGGGCTGAACTTGGAATTTAGACTTGTGCCAATGAATATTTATGCATAGTAAGTTATTAAATGTAAACTGATTCAAGGATACTGGGGTAAATAATGAAGGATAGGTTTGATTTTATAATCAATTTTTAATCTTTTAATGTAGGTACTATAACAAATTGCTAACTTTTATATATTTTCTCCTTTTTCGATTCGTTTTATAATTCTTATTATTATCTAAATAATAATAAGATTGCGTAGCGTAGTCAGTCTGTGCGTGCAATGCAGTGCAACGCCATTATTTTACTATTTCGCTACTGCCATCCCTTCGGTCGAGGCAGTCGGCGACTGCCCTCTCCACGCCCCGCGCGCCGCGCAATGCCCCCGCACACCTCCAGACACCCACACATAGCCGCGGGCGATTTTACGAGCACACATGCTTAAGTGTCGCTTCTTTTCGCGTAGTGTATATATTCTGTGCTCGAGGCGCTGGTATACTTTCTTGTTACATCATGAGCTACGTAGCGTAGAGTACTACTATCGACCGAATTGGATCCTGACACACTTACAAGATAATTTGCTTGAAGTTGTCATAACTGCTCAGTTTTCATATTACACTAGAATGCATGGTGCTCTTTAGACATTTTAATTACAAGTGTTTATATCCTTTATTAAATCAAAGTTAAATCTCAATAAAGTAAAAGTGGCTTATGAGTTATGAGGCATAAAATATACTCATCAAAAAAATTTAAGCGTATACGTGTTGTTTACGGTATTAAACTTCTGGCGAATATATTTATACTAAACTGTTAAAAGCACAATCGAAACGTTTCAATTTTTGGAATCACTCAATATGTTACCGAGAACAAAAAACAATTAGAAACCAATCTATTTGCTAAGAAAAAGAATATCAACAACTGAATTAAAACATACAGTTTCTGTAAATGATGCGTGTTGCTTAGAGTTTTTTATGTGGACGAGGCGAGGTCGCGTGTACGTCCGTCAAGCGGAGGGCACATCGGCGTATCTAATCAGGTCCCAAACCGATGTTGACCGTGTGTTCGGCCCCCCTGAGAAGTGACTCGCAGTAATGAGTGCGTTCTTCTATATATGTGTTTTGTTTTCGGTACAATTATCTGAAAATTTTAATTTTTGTTACCACAAAAAACTAGTTTTTAAGTCACGAGTAGGGTTAAAAAGGAAAATAATTTGTTTCTTATTAAATTCATTAACTTTATTTGTAAAACATACAGATAATATTTCATTACAAACTAAAAGTATTTCTAATGTAAATCTATTAAATTTTAGAGCTATGAAAGAAAAAGAGACTTGTCTTAAGTGGAGATTATCCCATATACACAAATCTTATATAAGGAACAATGGTATTTATAAGTTTATTTAAGAAAACAATAGTATGAAACTGGCAACCTGTATATGTAACAATAAATGTTTATTTGATTCACGCACTGCTTGATTCGCAGCTCAGCAAAATTTCCACGTGAAAAATGTCAAATATTTCTAAGCTCACTGTGGCTGCATTTGATAATTATTGTACAAAGAACTAAAATCTAAGAACCTTATGGTTGGACTATTCAATGCAGGATCCCTCGGCACGGGACATGATGAGTTGACTGTGTTGATGGAAGAGTTAGACCTGGACATTTTAGCCATCAATGAAACCTGGTTGAGGGCTGGGGAGGACGATAGGGCGCCGAGGCTCACGGGGTATCGTCTGAGACATACCCCTAGGCCGAATAGTGTGCGCGGTGGTCGTGGCGGCGGGGTTGGATTCTACATCCGTAGGGGTATTAATGCACGTCTCTGTCAGCATCCGGCGGACTCTGTGGTTGAACAGATGTGGTTGAAGGTGCGCATTAATAATCAAAGAGTACTGATTGGGACTGCCTACAGACCACCCTGGCAGGATGTGGAGATATTTTTAGATGCCCTTGCAGACTCTATCTCCTCTTTCTATAGTAGAGATGCGTTAATATTGCTTGGAGACTTCAACATTAACCTCTTGGACTCAGCGAGTGCTAAGTAAAAATTACTAACGCAATTCTTGCACAGTGTTGACTTAAAACAATCAGTTACAGAACCTACACACTTTACAGAGCACAGTTCTACCCTTATTGATCTCGACTGTAGCGATACCAGAGTATTTAAAGTCATTACTAAACACATTCCTGACCTTGGGGCGCATGCAATTATTTCAGCAGAATTTAAAATAAAAAAAGTACAGCCATCTCCCCAATGGGTAATTTACAGACCTCTAAGTAATATACTTGTCGACCAATTGAATAAAGATTTAGACAACATAAATTGGAATACATTTTATGAAATGGATAATGTAAATGGTCTAGTTGAGAGCTTCACACAATGTTTGACAGTCTTATTTGATCTGCATGTCCCAATAAAGAAAAAAAAATTTAAACATCCACCACATCCCTGGATAACTGATTGTGTTAAGTCAATGATGCGAGTAAGAGACACTTATCACGAACGATTTAAAATTCAGAGGACGGAGGCTCATAGAGTATGTTATATGAATATGAAACAACTTGTGGTGGAGGCAATCAATATGGAGAAAAAATGCTACTTTGCTGAACATATAAATAAATACAGTAAAAATTCAAAAAAAATATGGAGCAATCTTAAAACCTTTGTAATTGCTGACAGCAGGAAAAAAGCAGGTATACCGGCACACTTTAATGACCCCAACTTAATAAATGCGCACTTTCTCAACATCCCTGACAATGGTCAGGTAACAATATCACAACTAACATATTTTGAATATCACAGACATGGACCTGCAGTTTTCTCCTTGCAGACTGTCACTGAGGATACCGTTTTTAAAATTATTAGAGGCTTCAAGTCAAATGCGCAGGGTCATGATGGTCTGTCACTTAATATGGTACAATTGAAGTTGCACCAAACTTTGAAGGCCATCACAACCATTATTAACAGATCCATATCAGAGGGTGTTTTCCCTGACAGCTGGAAGGTTGCTGTGGTTAAGCCCTTACCCAAAATCGACAGCCCAGCCACCATGAACGACCTAAGACCTATTAGTCTACTCCCCTTTCTCTCTAAGATCTTGGAAAAAGTAGTTTGTGAACAACTTACAAGCTACCTTGAGGCTAATAACATATTACCAGAGCGACAGTCCGGGTTCCGCCGTAATCACAGCACAGCAAGTGCTCTTGCCGATGTTGTGGATAATCTCCTGGCAGCTCAGGACCAAGGTAGCCTCAGCATGCTGCTATTGCTTGATTTTTCGCGAGCATTCGATTCCACAAATATAAATCTCTTACTATCCAAGCTGGCTTTTTATGGAGTCAATGCCCACTCAGTGAAATGGTTCAATAGTTACCTTGAAAATAGATGGCAGTGTGTCGAGCTGACTAAGACAGATGGAACAAAGCAGTTTTCTGACAACCTGATGTTTACATGTGGCGTGCCTCAAGGCTCAATCCTGGGACCAACCCTATATTCTCTAGTCAGCGCTGATATCACAAACAACATACGTCACTGTCAATATCATTTGTATGCAGATGACCTGCAACTCTATCTTCCCTTTAAACACCTTGACTACAACAATGCTATGACAAAAGTAAATGAGGATTTAAAACGTATTTCCGATTGGTGCAGGTCTAACTCTCTGATTCTCAACCCAAAGAAGTCAAAACTTTTATTAATTGGCTCCAAAAAAAAAGTTCATTATTTTAAGGATACTCAATTAAATGTGCATATAGACGGGGAGAGAATAGAGCGTGTCAGTAAAGCCAAAAATTTGGGGCTTATTATAGATGAGCACCTTAACTTTGAAGGTCATATTGCTGAATGTTCCCGCATCTGTTTCTATAGGTTAAAGTTGCTGTACAAAATTAGGCCATATCTTTGTCAAGAGCTGAGAATCAAGTTGTGTGAGATGCTTGTTTTGTCTAAGATGAACTACTGTGATACAGTTTTTGGACCCTGCCTCATGTCCAGAACAAGTAAGCTCATTCAACGAGTGCAAAACGCCTGCGCTCGGTTCTGTTTTCATGTACCTCCTCGTTCACATGTAACTCCCTTCTTGAACACTGCAAAATTGTTAAAAATGGAGGCAAGGAGGAAGCTTCATCTAGCTACTTTATTATTTAATGTTCTGGACAAGGGAAGGCCAAAATATCTTTATGATAAACTTAGATGGATGCTTGATCAGAGTAGATACCATATAGGCAGTGTGGGCTTGTCTTCACAACCATGAAGCACCGAACAGCAGCATTTCGTGGATCCTTTCGATTTGCAGCCACAAAATGCTGGAACGACCTCCCGCCGCCAGTGCGTGATCTAAAAACAATTCACACTTTCAAAAAACACATCAAAACATATCTACTACAAATGCAGATATTGTCTTAGATTTCGCGACTCACTGTCTGGTTTTCACTTCAAGTTTTGCGGGGGCTCGTTCCGGTTGATAAGCCAGCACTGGGATATAGTCGTAAAGAACATTAAACTTGTTACTATTGTTGCATTCGAGCCTCATCAATAAAGAAGACACGCCATCCATCTTGTATGTTGCCACCGCGTTGGTACTTAGTAAAGCTGCAGATGAATGAGCACATTTATATTAAAATTGCATTTTTTTTTATTTCATTTCTATTACTGCCGAATATTGTTTTTTTTTGTATACTTGATTTACTCATAGAATAGTGTTACACTTATTGAGATTTTATTACTTCAAATTAAAAAACCTCGTACTCAATTATTTGTTACCACAGACTAGTTTTTTTTGTGTTATTGTGGTTTTTATTATTTTTTGCGCTAAGGCAAAGGAAAAATCAACAGCCTTTTCATATTTTTTTGTTATTCTTTGTGGTACTGTTATTCCGTGATTGTGTTTTTTGTTTTTATGACTACTTTTTCTTTTTCACGTCAACCTTAGGCTCTGCCAGAATATCAGCGCCGCAGCGGCCTTAGTGTCGTTGTGGCATTGTGCTGAGGCAGGGACCTAGTTGACCCTATTCTGTTTTTTGTTTTTATTTATGTTTTTGTTGGTCAATAAATTATTTCTTTCTTTCTTTCTATGTGTATGTTTTTATTTATTTTTAAGCATTAAACTGCTAGATGTTTTTCTAGTAAACTTGTCTTTAGATTTTTTATGTGTGTTTATGTAATGATGTTAAATGGTGCCTTAATTATAATAAGCCCTGTGTTGAATCAGAGATCTGTGAAATCTGACTTTTGCGTTGTCATAAACACAATACTAAGTAATTTTAGACTTAACTAAAATTTTGCTAAACAAATTTTAAACAATGTAAAAGTTAAAGAAAATCATTATATTCCTTTAAAAAATATTTAAAATTATATATTAAAGCAGAACTTGATACTGCGACTTACATACTGCAACACATGACTATTCCCATATTATTTATAGTATTCTTTGTTATTATTAATCACTAATGGACTCGCCAGCGGTCCTGCCTGTTAAAATCTAAATAAAACCCCCTTGGCCTTGGTCAAGTTTTCTTATTTTTTTTAATTTGCTGCGCTAATTTCTTAGCTTTTTCCCCTTACTTCTTCTGCAAAATATAGGAAATCTAAAAAAAATTAATGAAATCGTTTAGCGTTCTCGAGATACGTGACCTAGAAAAGAATGGGTTGTTAAATACTTAATTAGATGTTTCTACAGTGTTCAGTATTTTAAAATCTTCGTTTTCGTTCTTTTTATAAGGTGCCGGTGCTGAATATAACAGGAGCGCTCTCCCCGCACGTGGAGGACACTGTCACCTTTAACAGCCGCTTGAACCCATCCACTTCCACCTGGATGAAGGTAAATTTGATTCACATGTTATAAGCACACCTGAGGCCCAAGTACGAATTTTGCCAGCTCCGTATTTGTATCCCATTGTCAAAGTTTCGTACTGAAAGCAAAAGTGAAATTCTCCTTAACAAAGTGAATCGTGTTGCTTCAACCCTCACATATCTTTTTTATGTAAAAGAGGAGCAAAGAAGATCTTGATTTAAATCGGCCACCATAGCCTATACACCGTGAATTTTCAGTTACCTGAGAAAATTTACTAAAGAATTCGGACGACCTTATATGTTAAGTATATTTCCGCAAAAGAAAACTTTTTTATTTCGAAGTGTCCTCGCTTGTTAACTCGACAATTACATAATTAAGAAACTAACAATTTTAGTTTTAGCAAATTAATTCAAATATAAAACATTAGGATCTACCTACGAAATTTAAACGGATAAAAATTCCATATGTTTGTTATTTACTTTGCGCCATTTATGGGATATTATGTAAACGGTATAAATCAATATCTTTGTATGGGAGTGTTGGTACGTTTAAGTGTTCTCACTATTTTTATTAATAAGTTTTTTAAGTTTCTCAGGTAAGTAAAAATTCTTTATTACATAATAGTCTTACAGTTCGTGGTGTTATGTGGTAATACGTCAGGTGAGGATTACTTTTCCAAACGGCCGATCGCATTCGATTGGGATTTTTCTATATTATTTTATTTCATCAAGCGAGATAAGGGATCGGTCGCACTGAAAAAATCATGATGTTAGTACTTCTATAACGCTTTCGACTTGTATTTTCAACTTTACATTCTATGGTATATTATCCGATAAAAAAATCTAAGTGACAGAGGTTTGTACGCATAGAAAATTATCTCTATTCTAAAAAATATTAATTACGCCGGGAGAAGCGCTTGTATGAATGACTAACATAATCTAACATCTCGATAATAGTTGCGGAAGGTTCCACTATTTAATTTTATACAATTAAGTATTTTACCTGTCATTATGGCCCTTTACAGCTCTCTGATTGCGGATTGCCGCTGGAAGAGCAACCAGAGAAGCTTGCTGAGGCTTTCCGCCTATTTCTACAAGGGGAAGGATACGGTAAGTAAAAGAAAATCAATTGTCTACATCTCCGTAAAGGAATGCGTCAAGGGTGAAATTTAGGACCACAACTATTTATTATGTACCATTTCATTTTAAGTAACTTTTGGTGACATTAGTTAATCTATAAAAAAACACAGAAATAATGTAACTATGTAAAAGTTATCAGGTCCGCAGGAGATTATAAAACTTTCTTGATTGAAATAAACGATTTTTTGAATTAATGTTTTCACTATTGTTGTTTAATTACATTTTACTAATTAATGACAATGATATTAAAATGTAGTTTTTACCACACAATTTAATTTGTTCACGAGCAAAGATATCAATTATATAATATAGTAAAAAACTCAAACGATGTATGTCGCTGTTATGTTAAAAGAATGCAAAATTAACTTTTAAATTATTTATTCAATTTGAACATTCTTTTTTGACGTCTTCTGAGCCGGACTTACGCATCTACGGTATGTATTTTAATAGTACGAGTTGAGTAGGCAGCTAGAACCGTGTGATCATCGTGAGGAGAGCAAGTTCATTAACAGGCATATTTAAGTAAATCGTACGCAACATTGTCGTCTGCATCATTTTTAAGTGGAATACGCTAATTAGTAATGCTAAGGGAGCGCCGCGCTCGGATTTTAATGACAGACGTACTTTGCACCGTCAATTACTTAGTTGTTTGTGACAGTTTATAACTAACACTAGTCTTCATTAAATATAGTTTCAGTAACTTTAACGTAGGCACATTTTCTTTTATTTTGTAGTAGAAGATTTTAGATTGACAGTTTTTTCGGATTGATAAATATGTGTTATGAAAGTGATAAGAATTGTAATGTTGAAAATTATGTATGGTAAATCACTGTTTTTGGTTACAGGTAAACTTACTTACTTTATTTATTGACCATCAAAACGTTTTTATTGAAATACGGTTTCAAATAATCAACCTGATTCAGTTGAAAAATAATAAATTTTATTCTATTCTATTCTTGTAAATAATATAAGCTATGAAAATAAACGTTAACAATTCAGTATATTTGTAATAATAATTGTTATGAGTTAAATTCGTAAAAATAAAATGATCCGATTAAATGATTAAATTATTCCGTAAAATGTGGTAAATAAATCCTCATACTTAGTTTATTCACGTAATTTCAAATTGCTTGGTTTGTAGATGAGCACATTTTTTTCACAATTTTTATATCACAGTTTTAATTTCTACTACAACTATAAGTAGATTTTATTTATAAGAATATTGCAGTAGTTTTATTTTTGTCTCGTTATTAATATAATATTCAAATACAGTGATGACTGTAAGCTTAAATATTTGTCTTTGTGTGTTTCATGTAGAACATACATGGAAAATTATTGAATTTAAATAAAATACTTTAGGCCTGATGCCATCACTGTTGATTGCATATATTTTTAATTATCACGATAAGACAGCGCACTTGATTTAACCCGTTTAGCACAAACCGCAACCGTCATAGAATACATAGATAGAATTTCATTTTCTTGAAACAAATAAATTAAACTATTGGTTGATTTCAAAACAAAGTTTGTTTTATAGGCTTTTATGATATTTTTTTACAATTTGTCAATAAAGGTAAACCAAGTTACACAATTTTACCGCACTCTAGCTTTTTTACAGATGTTAGAGTGTCGTAAGTAGCTTAAGTTTAAAAATCGAGGGCTGTAGGGTGGTCACAAAGTACTCGATACTTCTGTAATTTCGATTTAATGCCCATTTTTGCGCCATATTAATGACTCATAACTTTAATAGTATTTATTTAATATAAAAAAGTTTTATACCAAAGTTGTGGGGAATTTAATGACGAATTACTTCAATGAGACGTTTTTAGCAATTAATGGCATTTTTAAGGTTTTAAAAAGGAAAAACCTCATACTTATTCAAATAAACAAGAACTGTAAAACAGTAACAGGTACAATAAAAAGTTATAGAAAAAAAGTTAGGTAATTTAGTAAGAAACAAAAAAACACTTCAGATTTTCCGTAAAGTCAATATCTTCGGAAATATAGCAATAAACGCGCTTTCGAATATGGCGTCCAGTTGTGACCACCCTACATTCCCCGATTTTTAAACTTAAGCTGCTTATGACCTAACCTAACACCTGTAAAAAAACTAGAGGGCGGCAAAATTTTGCATTACAATCAAGTATAACCGCGATCTCTATATCTTGGGCTAGTGTTGTACGTTTTTTTTCTACGGTTGAGTGCGAAGTCTTAACATTTTCCGTCATGTGTATTTTAACAATTACGTACTCTTTTGTTTTTGTCTATTGAATCACACGTGTTGTGAACGTATTTCTACTGTTCCAAGCACTCAGTGTAATATTTTACTTACTAAAGAAATCTACATGACGCGATTATGTTTCATACTTGACTGATTATACAATGGCTACTACTGCTCATACATCAAGACTCTACACGTCATTATTTTCCTATTCACAATTAAACTGGTTAGCAATTTGCTTTATTAGGTTCCTCGCATCTCTCGACCCAGTTCATGAGCATTAAAAGCAAGCAATGTCGTTAAACATCTTAATTTTAAAGTCGAGATGATATGATGCTTCCTTAAAATACGACTAAGAGAATAAATAGTACAAAGCGGAACGCTTTGATAGTAAGTGTCACCATCTCTAGGCTTGGCTCTGTGTTAGTGTGATTAAATAAATCGCGGTTAATAACCCTTTCAAAAAGTGTTTTAGTAAGTAAATCTGTACTTTAGTCATTAATCAAGGTATCCAGTCGTGTATTCTAAAAACTACTCCACTTTTATGTCCAACCCCAAGCTGTAGCAGCCATGTTGTGGTTAGTCTGCACCCCTTATTCACAAATTTGACATGAAACGATTTCTAATAAGATATGTATTTTCTCTCTCAATCCCTTGGGTAAATGAAACATCAAAAATTACAAGAAAAGATGCTACACCTAAAATTGTTTCCGATCATTTGTGGTCAAGGAGGAATTATTTCCATAAAATTTTCACCTAGACTAGATCTTAAGGGCCATCTGCACATCGACAAACTTTTTTAGTAAATTTTGTAAATTCTCATGCATTATTCAACTTCAATTTATAAATATCGTGTCGCAGACTTGATGCATGAATAGGGAGTATGTGCATGGCCTAAGGCTGATTTTCCTTTAAGGCTGACAGACTTTTAATGCACACCAATATCGATGATTTTGCTATAACTATAGTCGGTCATCGTTAAGGGGAAACAGTCCTTATAGTATCACTAAATAAAGACGAGTCCTTTGTAATGTTTCAATCTATTTATCTCTTTCTGACGCACTTGACCATTAAAGCAAGAGAGGTACCAACATACCTTTTTATAAGAACTCTGGATCTTAAGAGAAGAATATTGAGTAAAAGCTTAACGTAGCAGGTAACCACACCAGCCATCTTACCATTTAACACTAGGGGGATTTGTTCAGACCTAATAAAGAGAAATGAGTGCGGTTTCGATCAAATCCCACTCGTCTTGCTCTGAAAACCGTAAGTTCCGTGAAACAGAAAGACATAGATTGACAGAAAATGGCAAAGGCTCCCGTATACATTGGTAGCATAGCAAGTGTTAAGCGTATTGTTTGTGGCAGTGGTACTATTCCGCGCACCGCCCGCCGCTCGCCTTAGATCCGATACCGGGTTTCAGTAGACACAGTAAGTTTCTTTATTTTCTTTTTATTTATCTTATCTTTATTTTATGTGTGTATATATTATTTTTGTTTTAATTTCGATGTAGTTGTGCAAGCAAACTGCTTTCAACCGGCATTGTTATGAAGATTCTGTATACATACCTTTTTTATCAGTCTTGAAGCTATACCGAGTAGCAGGTCCTTATTAATAGAGAAAATTCAAGTAAGTACTTAATGAGTTGGATTCAGATTGCAAAATACGAATGTATCAGAGACGGCCGGTCTAAAAGACAGGAGGACTACAGATTAAAACATAATAAGTAGATAGGCACTAATCCTTTATAAGTATTCAAGCTTTTTTGAGCTTTTAAAAAATATGTAATATAGTATTTCGGTCAATATTTTTATTTTATTGATCAAACATCACAAACATTTCGTTTAAATAAAATATAAGTAGATTCCTAGACCGATTGTCTCTGCAGTTTTTTTTGCAGACTAGCTCAGACAAAGTTTTTATAGCCATGCCTTTATAAAAATTTCGTGCTTACAAATTTCATATTGTACTTACACAATTTTTTCTATCTCTTGTTGCACTAAGTATTACTTGGCATTATGCCGCTCTAAAGTTAGCCGAGAACAATTTTTATAGTGATCTGCAAATATCAAAATCCCGAAATCTTGAACATTTGTTTTATATCGAACAGTCGGTAAATTTACGTTCGTAATAATTTAACTTCAGAGCAGCAATCTTAAGTGTATTGGGTCAATCACCGCTATTTAGTGAATGCAAAAAAGCAACGTCTTAAAACAACAGCAACAAACTAAAATATTTTTTAAGGCGGTAAACGAGCTTTTTGCTTACATAAAATGCTTGAGATACTTAGGTGGCACGCTTGCGAGCGTTACTAGGTCTGACCCCCAACCTTCACTCAACGAAAGCAGAAAATTCCAAAATTCTTATTCAACGTATTATTCAAAGAAGCAACCATTCAAAATATCCTACCTGAATTCGAACCCAGGATCGCTGAAGCCATTTTCAACAACTTGGAACCTTAAAACCCGACAATTTTCAATGTTGCCTTATACGTCGCTATGCCAGTTTATAATGTAGTACTTATGAATTATTTATTTCAATGTCGTATTTGTTGCTGTACCTTCGTGATGGTCTGCAACCCCTGTAAAGAGCACAGCGTTACATCGTGTGTGCTTGGTAGTCGTGTGTAAATTATAAAATCATACCAAATGAAATCGCAATCAAATTATATTCGATACTGTGGATCAGAACAGTAAATGATAACAGAGGCTTCAGGAGACATGAGATATCACATACGCATAGTTGAGCGTATGTGATGTCTCATGTTTCCTGAAGTTATTAAAATAATAGTATTTAATAAGGAAATTTCAAATGGATTAAATGGTATATTTCCTAACTCGTTCTCATAACAGAACTTGCCTGGCATTTGCCAATTTGCAACATGCCGGCCTCGGGCTTACCGAAATTAAGCCTGTACTGTCGACTGGACTATTGTGAATGAGTGGTCACCACATGTGGTTACTATCACCTCGCCAGTTCAATAGTATCTCATAAAACAGATAAAAATTTTACCTTCCTCTACTGTTTTATTCGAATACTTTATTCACTTATTAGTACCAATCTTGATATCATATAGATAGAGGTACATAATTTTGATTTGTGTTCTTACGAGTATTTTCCACAAGTAAAGTAATATAATTCTGTAAAAAAAAGTAGAGTAAATAAATAAATATTTCTAATACTCACACCAATTAGCTTAGCCCCAAAGTAAGCACTGTAGGCTGTAGGCTTGTGTTATGGGATGCTAAGGTAACGGAAACATTATACTGATACATATATAAGTATATTTATATAGAAATATATATTAAACATCCATGACTAGAGTACAAATACTCGTATTCATCACACAAACAGCCCCCCACCGGAATTCGAACCCGGGACCTCTCGAGTAGGCGCTACCTTGAAACCCGGAGTATAAACCACTCGGCCACAGTCGTCATTGAGATAACCTATAAATCTTCTTTTTACCAATTAAAAATCCATTTCCAAGTTAAATATGGGCGGAGCCTATACATTTAAATCTTAACTAAAGAAAGAAAGAAAATACTACTAGAAAAACTTTTGGCCCAGGTGTCGGGATACGAAGCAGCGTATTGTGCTTTACGTACGAATGCATTGTAACTGCGGTCCTGGATCGAGTTAATTATTTTCTACTAGATTTAAATATAAAAAAAACTATCAAATTAAATGATATTTTAAATGAAAAAAAAGAAGAACCCGTACATGAAAAAACAAGTCTATTTCATTTTGACACTTGGATGTCAAGATAATGTTATGTTCCGGAAAACTATTTGCATGCTCTCTTAAAGCTAGGATCCCACGGCCCGTTACCTCACAGGCCGCTCCAGCCTTTGCCACTCCTGTCGAGGCCCTATGCCGAACACTAAGCTTTACCGACTTAACCTTTCGGAGGGCAATGCCGAACACTAATCTTTACCGATTTGACCTTTCGGAGGGACGACGCCAGGTCACTGCATACCTCATCGGATGTGACTGTTCCTATGGCCTTTCTAGGCGCGATCTGTCTTGTGAGAAAGCCTCCCGTGGGTTCCCAGCATAATCAAGTTTGTGTTCTAACTATTGTGTTACACTTTTCAGTGGCGCCGTTGTCCCCGACCAAGATAGTGTTGTACCGGCGACTATCGGACGCGGGGTTGGGGGCTACCGTGGGGTCGGGAGCTATAGTGGGAGCGGGGGGGCGTCGTCGCTGTCGGCACTCGCCCATCATTCGCATCACCGAGAACCCTATACCAGAGGCCGTTGTATGCTAAACACATTGACATAGAGAATGGACTGAGCGATACCTCCTTGAAGTTTATCACTCCCTAGTAAGAAAGAAACCGATATCGTCTGACCGTGGCAGCAAACAGTGGAAAAAAGAAGCGGTCGTGTGACCAGTAGTTCGCGTTTCAATTTATCTTACAGCATGATAATGCTCATTAGTTTATGTCCTGAACGGCGCATCGCGTATGCGGGTCGCGGCACGTAACTCTAGCGCTATACAAAACGCGGAGGGGATAGCTGCGCATGGGTACGACTGGAAAGCTAATCGGCGCAACTCCACCCACCCGCGCACCTCGTTTCACCTCAAGACATCTTAATTTTTACTTCTACGCAATAACGGTCAATGCTAGAGTTTCATGCCGCGACTTATAGGTAAATACCAGACTGGACAGATTGAATCGTATTTATTTCTTAGAGCAGTTTCAGACTAGCCTTTTTTCTGCGCGTATACGGTCGTTTCGGCATACACGCTTTCACGCAACCCTACATTACGCGCTTAAAAAAAACGGATTCGCATACACGGGCATATTTCGGCGCTTTCCCTCGAACCGGTAGAGATGTCTCTTGCGACTCGCGCATATATGAGCTTACAAGCGCGTCAACGCACGTACGAGTACATTCGCTTTCAAAAACGAGCTTATACGCGCGTGTAAAGCGCTAATCTGAAACCGCCCTTTTATTTTCACGTACACCAACCTTTTAATAAAACACATTTTAACGAGTTTAGCATGTTTTTTTCAATTTAACGTTATTCTGGACGATTCAGACCGTTCTCAGGTTCCGTGTTCACAAGGTTCAACAATGTCGAGAATTTTTTCGTCGGCACTCAGGACGCACACTTAAAGTCGATCACTCTCTAGCAAGAGAGAAAGCGATATCATGCGATCAATGGGCAGAAAAGTGTCAAAAGAGACAAAGCGGTCGGGTGAACAGTGGTTGGCGTTCAAATTCATCTTACGGCTAAGGGATGCTCTGTCCGTTCTCTTTATGTCTATTTCTAAACACAACACTTAACAACGGTCACGTTTCGGGCACGCACGCAGCACTAGTGGACTGAACACGACCTTTTCGAGTGTTTCCACTGCACGTTAAAACAGGTTGTTTATCATTTTTGTTTCAACTGTTACGGGAAATATTGAGCGTCCGAGAAATGCGGCCGTCTAAGCCCAACCTAACAGCTACATAAAGTTTGTATGTGATTGATATGTATTTAAGCAATTTAAAATTTATTAAAAGAAAGGCGTTTATAAGCAAAGATGTTTAATATTAAGTTCAACAGCTCTTTTCACCAAATGGGAAAACATAATGCACTAATAAGGCGCATGCCTCAGAGTCGACCTTTTATCACACATATTTTATGTGAGATTTTACCTTTTTTGAAATACATTTTGATCTTATATTATTTATTGAAAAATCATAATTGCCGGCTCGATTATGCATTCATGTTGTGAGAAAGAAATACCAATTTATAAAGATTGACCATTTCATGTTTATAATGTGTATTTTTTATGTATATAAACTCTGAGCTTAATATTAATTTATTATTATATTTAATAACAGATTATCATATATTATGTTATTATTATTTCAATTATCATTGTGTTACCTAATGTAATAAATTACCTACAATAAAAGATCTGAAATAAATTTAGGTCGTTGGAATGAAAATTTCAATAACTGATGCAATTTCGTTCATATTTCGTGATAAAGTTGAAGCACATTAACATCCAAAAACGCGTTTATACCGCCTTTTCACGCGTCATTACTGGTTCACTAGCTTGTCTCGAAGTGACCAGATGCACTTTTAATATCAACAGTTGAGTTATATAGCTATTGAACTTCGCCGTGTCGTGTCGGTGTATGTAAGTTACAGTAGAATGTCGATATCTACGTGGCGGATATAAACGTGGACTAAAGTTAGACTTGACTTAAACCTAATGCTGTCTCCTTTATATTTTTAGAATACAACTGCGACCTCATCAGTTCTAGAAAAGGTGTAACTTAAGTCTGCGTTTTTATTAAGGGGATAAGAGTACTTATGCTATGCTAAATAGTTTAAAACACATACAAACAACGACTCGGGTGGGGCTGCGCTGCGATGATGCGTTTTTACTGATAGGTGTACGTAAACTTTTAATCTGTGTAACGGATTATTATTCACTTAAAAATACGAATGATAACTGCCGATATTTTTATGTTTCCTCTCAGGCGGGGGAGCATGTGTGAAACTCTTCTTTATAATTTTAGGAAATGTAAAGAGTACATTCGTTAAACGAAAATTGGAATAAAGTAAAACGTGAACGATATAATGAATTCTTTTATAAACGTGAGTTGTTAAAACTAATTAATTAAAAACTTACAAAGTTTACGATTACTTTAAGAGATGGACAATTGGAAGATTCAACAACGGATCGTATTGTGCAATAAATAAAATATATGTAATTAAATTAACTAAAGTAAATCTATTCAATCGCATAATAAAATTAATTATTTCATTAAGTACTTATAAATTTTATATTTGAATGAATTAAACTGTTTTTATTAATTATAATAATAAGAAAACATACACACAATTATTTGCATTTTTGCACAGCACGGTCCAATTAGATGTCACAACATTAATAATTCTATATTGAAAAAAATAGTTATCTATTTATATGTTTATAATAGAAAAATGATGCAGAATGTATGTAAATAAATACGTTTAGAACGTTGCGCTATTTTAGAGCAGACACGACAGCTCGTTATAACAATAGAATAAATAAAAAATACGAAGTTAAACTTTAAATATATGCATATATATGTATATGAATGTGTTAACTAACGATTTAATGGTATTATTATATGAAAATAAAATAAGTCAAAAATAGTACGAAAATCGTGTTTGAAATTACGAGTTTAGTGTTTCCTACTGATGAAGGTAGGCGCCTTCCTCACCAGGTCGGTGCGGGTTCGTTTCGTTTTAGTTTCTGTACCGAATCTGTACAGAATCTTTACCGAACGGATACACAACTCTCTGTAATCGCTCGCCAACTTGTCAATAATGATCAATACGTGTTCGAAACAGACGTGGTCACAGCCTGAAAGTTTGGAGGGAGTCACCAAACTTTCTATTTGCACCTGATTTCGCACCGCTTATAGGAAGAGTTGCCAGACTTTTTAGCAGTCTTTAAATTTGGGGCGAGATCATCGTCGCAAACTTCGATGAATACATCGCGGCTAGGGCCAGAAGACTATTCAATTTCAAGACGAGTGCGACTTGCGGGGTCAAATCCCCCGTGACCTCCTTTAGGGCCGCGCCTGGTTTGAGATTTCTCCTTTTCAACTTTTCTTTTCCGCCCTATCCATGGTTGGCACAATATTCACGGTTGCTTTTTATATAAATTTTCCATTAGTCATCTAGGAAGACTTTAGTAGCGGCAACTACTTCTAAAGTAGATTCCCTTTTGCTAAAGCCTGGATGTAAAAATTCGGTCCACGCGTTTTGTTTCCAGTGTGCCACAAAGGAAGATACATACATATAGACTGTTAAACACAATACCCTTTCTGCGCGCAGTGTTGCCATTTATACAGATTTATCTGTATCTACAGAGATTTTAGGCTACCGATACAAATGCCAGATTTTGCTCTACGATTATACTTTTTTTTAAAATATGATTAAGGATTTAAAAAATATTAGCTCTGGTTAGATACTAGATGTCTCGTCATGACAACATGGACGAAACGGGGTTGGGGATTTTCTGAGATATATCTACTACGAATAAATACTACCCGAACTATAACCTATACACATACATTTCGTTTGTTTTTTTTTATTGGTCGGGTAACAACGTCTTTTTGAACCGCTAACGGTTGATCCTAATATTCAATCTATAATCATAGATTAAAACCAATCCTAGATTTCTCATGAACTATGGATCGCTCTGTTATTCAATATTAGGGAGGTCCACAGTCCGCCATAGACAACCAGTTTAATCCATTCCTCCACAATGGGTCCGATTCCGGCATGATTATCTAAACCCGATAAGTGTCTCTTTTTTATTCTGTATAGAGTATGACAAGGATACACCCTTGACAAATTTAAATTTATGTTTAGAATCATGCCAAAATTGGGCCCAATGTGATTGTCTATGGGCGTTACCATTGGGACTTGTCATGTCTTTGTATAAATAAATAATCAATAATTAATTAATACACAAAATATTTTAATATGCCACATAAATCTCTGCGCTATGCCCTATTCCTCATAAACTAGTATCTCCAAATCTCTATCGCTATCGTCGAGCAGCATTCCTCCAAACCAATGCTAAATTTTATTACAAAATGTATGATAATCCATCGAAAACATTGGTTACAAAAAAACGATAGTTTACCTTTGACAAATTGTCTGTCAAAAACAGCAGTTTGCATATTGAAACACCAAAACTGCCATTTTCATATAAAAATCACTTTTACCGCGGATCAGTCCTCCCACGGATAGTGTACTTTACATTGATAGATCAAAGATTCAAACTAAAGTTTGTTTTATTATATGAGGCCGCACGTATCTAAGTTTGTTCTATGGGTTGTTCATTATGCGAATATCCAGTTCAATTTAATAGCGAATTGAGGATTTTAACGAGAAAAAAGTAGTCGAACTAAAGTAGGATGGGAGTTGATTAATAAAAATATTCTTAATAACTTGTAAACGTATTTCATTTATGAGCTTCTGTTTCTTTTCCTTAATAACTTAGTTATTCATCAAACTACCGCAAGTTTATCGGATTTAAATTCAATCATACAATTCACGCTTTACTTTTTTGGTTCAGAATACGGCAACACTGTCTGCCCATCGTGCTGTTCGCGTGCGCAGTCGGGTAAAAAGCAGGTGGAAGCCTGACATTATTTTAGTCAATTCATTTCTCAAACCTTAGGTAGTGAAAAGTCTTGTAGGAAATGGCCAAGCTGCAAGATTCTCTCTCATTCTTTGTTGCCCCGCCCCTATCAT